TTTGTTGTTTTTTATCACTCAAAAAATGTTTTTATTCAACACATGCCCTGAAATGATATTTTGAGAGAGAGAGAGAGAGAGAGAGAGAGAGAGACGACATATACACGCAATTCATAAAACTAATATACAGGTATTATATAACTTATAAGAAAAACTCATAATAAAATCAATGAAAAGTCATTAAAAAATTCACGTAAAACTAAACATAAATTAAAGCAAATAATAAAAATTGTGTTTATATTAAATTTTCTACTTTAATGAACGTATCTTATATTAAGAATTACAACAATGCTTTTGAATTGCATAAAAATATATGTATTTTTAGTATTTATATAAAAGTAATGTATAGTTTTGAAGGGCAAGAATATTCAGGACAACAGACCATCGTTAATGTAAAAGTAAGTGTCATTTGATAAATGATCATGATCACTTTTAGATGCTTTTCCCTGTTGTTTTAAAATTTTTGTTTTTCTTGTTTTCCTAATAAAATATTTATAAAATATAAAAACAAAGAATTATAAAAATCAATAATTACTAAGAAATCGTAAAATAAACTCAAATAATATCCATAGAGATAAAAACGCAACCAAAATATATAATTATATTTTTGAATTTCATTTCATAATAACTTTATATTTCAAATTATATTCAAAATTGTTTACATTTCAAACAATTATGTTTATAACTGCTATTTAAAAACACCATTAATTCACTTATAATTGTCTTATTTTGTGTTCAATAAAATCATGTTTTACCTGAAGATTGAGCGCAGCGAATACGTGTATCAGTTGCCTGATATGAACACTAAAACACATGGTAATCAGGCGCTCATCACCAGCAGCGACATCACCACAAATCATGGCTATAATCAGCCGCTCAGACGGCTATCGGTCAACGATCAGGACTTTGAATCCGTGACAATACGTGACGACAGCCACAAAATGAGCGCTAAAAATGATGACGATATTAATACAAACCGGATTATACCGATCACAATGAGTCCGCCGCGAGTCACCGATCATGGCTACCAACAGCCACAGCCACAGGCGCCGGCACTTATACCCACCTATAATAGGGTGGCGCCGATGCAGCCCGGGTTGACACCGGTGTCCGAAAAGCCTGTCTATCAACAGCCGGCCGTTCACTTGCCCTCCGATATGCAACAGTTTGAGGTGTTGTGGCATAACCTCAGCTATAATATACCCAAGAAGTTAAAGGATCTCCTCTTTCCGGCGCAGATCCGCACCAATATATTGCATAACATAAGCGGTCACTTCCGGAGCGGCGAAGTGACCGCCATTATGGGCCCGTCCGGCGCCGGCAAGTCTACGCTACTCGAGATTATATGCGGTATTTGTTATATAATTTTTTGTGTTTATCCTAATTATTTCAGTATATGCTATACGTTAATCTGCATTTGTATTAACTGTATTATCTGTATAAAAATTTAGTGACAATTAGGGTAAATTAGTTGAGACATTAATAATTACTATAAAATGTTTAACCAATAGGACGTCGAGTGCGCGGAGTGGTCGGTGAAGTGCGGATCCGTGGCGTGGATGAAGTGAAGATCGGTTTCGTACCGCAAGACAACTATCTGCTGGAACTGTTGACAGTGAAAGAGACACTGGTGTTCGCCTCGAAGCTCATTAACCATAAGCTGTCCGGTTATGAGCACAACTCGATCGCCGATAAAACCATCAATCGGTTCGGTCTCGAGAAGATCAGCGAAACCCGTGTCAACCGTTGCAGCGGTGGTCAACGGAAGCGGCTGTCCATCGCTCTGGAGATTATTTCAAAGCCCAATATCTTGATTCTGGACGAACCGACCACTGGACTCGACTCGCCTTCATGTACTCATGTGCTGAATATACTGCACGAGTTGGCCGCCAATAAGACCAGTCCGGTGGCAGTTGTGGCCACCATTCATCAACCATCGGTCGCCCTCTTTAACGCCTTTCATAGCATTTACATTCTGACCAATAAAGGAAAGTGCATTTACCATGGTAAGTCATCGTAGAATTATGATCATTTTTAACCTTAATAAACACTATTCTCTCTATACGAGGTTTGCCCCGACAACTGGTGCCGACGATGGCTCGGGTGGACGTGGCGTGCGATCCGTACACATCGCCCGCCGACTTCATCATAGAGATAGCGGCCGGCGATTTCGGTCCGACGCCTATTAAGAAGTTGGTAGACGTGGCCGACACCGATACCGACCGTCTCGAGCGGCTCACCACTCAGGACTCGCGGCTCCTGTTGTCGGCACTGACCAAACATCGGTATCCCTTCTTCAGACACCTGTGGCTACTGTGGGTGCGGTCGCAGATCTTGATATACAGGGATCCCTTCCTCACGATTCTTCGTCTGGTGATGTGTGTCTTCTCGGCGGTCAGTCTGTCGATACTGTTTGGCCGCGAGATCGGCAAGACGTCCGGCTGTCCGCCCCGACCCGTCGAGCTCTACGCCACCCCTCTTGACGTGTTGTCCAAGAAGTTTGAGACCGATATAAACAACGTGATGCAAAACGTGTGTTTGCTCTTTCTGGGCATCATGGTCGGCTTTCTGTCCGGTTTGACGCCCACCTTGCTCAACTTTCCCAAAGAGATGCATGTGTTTCATAAGGAGTACCACAACGGCTGGTACTCGTGCATCAGTTACTACGTGGCCAAGGTCATTTCTGATGTACCTTTACAGGTAAATATAATGTACACTTACCTATCTTGAATAATTTCTCACCAAAGTAAACCTTCAACAAAATCATACACAATATAATTTAGTACTTCAGATGATTACCCAGATGATAGACCTACTGTCCTCACATATTGTACACTATTACATTCATACGATTTAATCTCTCTCTCTCTCTCTCTCTCTCTCTCTC